TTGTGACATGACATGTCTGTGTGATACATGCTGCATACATGTGCTTCACGATTCTTCGCACTCCTTAACTATTCCTCCTCCTCGCCTATACCTCTTTCCTCCTGCCTCGCTCCTCCTGCCTCTTCCCTCGCTTCCTCCTATCCTGCCTCCTCCTCCCTTCCTCCTCTCCTCCTCCTTCCTCTTCTCTTCTCTTCCTCCTCCTCATCCTCTTCCTCCTCCTCCCTCCTCCTCCTCCCTCCTCCTCCTCCTCCTTATCCTCCTCCTCCTCCTCATCATACCTCCTCCTCCTCATCCGCCTCCTCCTCCTCATCCTTCTCCTCCTCTTCCGCGCCTCACATCCTCCCCTCCTCCTCCACTTTTAATAACAAACTCATCTCAATTAAAACATCGCAAAACAATAACAAAGGCCGAGCACCGCTCCTCTCCTCTTCCTCCATTACCTATTCAGCATGCACCTTCCCAGAACACGTGGCGTCTCTCTCTACCGGTGCTGCGAGTTCCAGCGGTGCACGCGCGGAACTGATTGCGTGCCACTCGTGCAGGCCCGTACTTCGAAAAACTCCTTCTCCTATGCGACACTCATCACGTCCGGGTTTACCGTGGCCAGATCTATTATACAACACACGGCAAAATGTCCGACATTGCAGTCACGCATCACAACATGCAGGATAACTAGTAGATTTATAGTAAATATTAAGCTGCTGGTATATTTTTACTTAGCTAATATAATATATACTATATATAATATAACATATAAAATTGATTCGACACACGTCAGCATTGAGGTCTACGCACCGACGAGCGAGAATGCAGCCGCTAAAAGCTAGCTAGTAATTTTATAAAGTTTGTTGATTTTCGTAAATACTTAAGTGCCTGATATATTTTGCTTCACTATATATCTATATATACTCTATATATTTCATCTATATCACGCAGCGTACACACACACAACACACACACACACAACCACGACCACAACACACACACACAACACACACACCACACACACACACACACACACATACAGCACACACACACACACACACACAACACACACACACCACACACACACACGACGCCACGGCACGCACGCACGCACACACACACACACACACACACACACACACACGCACACACGCACACACACACACACACACACACACACAACCACACACACAACACACACACACACACTACACAGCCCACACACCACAGCACAACACGCACGACGCCACGCGCGCTGCCGCTGCGCGGGCCAAGCGCACCCTAATATAGTTAATATACTATATATATATATATATATATATATATATATAATTTCATTTGCTCTCCCCCCCTCCCTCTCTCTCTGCGCACCTTCCCTCCCTCCCTGCGCCTCCCCCACCCCCGCAGCACCGTAGAGACGCATGAGAACGCTTTGCTTTACGGCCTACACCGTCGCTGTTGCATGCTTAAAGCCCCAGTATCGTCACCTCACGCAGGAGGGCTCCTCTCTCATCCTCGCCTCCCACATCAAGAAGAAGCCGACCAAGCTGGACCTGATCTTCCTCGAGGAGTCCCCGGATTACTGCGTGCAGAGCCACGTCACAGGTACGCTGCTGCCGCTGCTGCTGCTGCCATCTATCGCGAGATCCTCTGTTGGCCATGATGGCGGATTAGTCGATTTACGGTGTTTTTTGTGTGGGTTTATTGTGATATAATCAGGAGCAAATAATAATAGATTATGCATTATAATAATTAATTAACCCATTAACGGTTTTTAACGGCATGGAATGAATTATTCATCGTCTGAAATCCACCATAGACGTCACGTGATTATAATAAATACGTGGTTCGTCCGCGTGAAAAACAAGGGAACGCTTCAAGATGGAGCGTGTTGGTCGATATAATAATAAAATAATAAAATATAATGATAAAATCCGAGCGCGAAAAATTCACGCAGCATAAAAAACAAACTCGCGCTTTCGTTTAAAAACAACAACTCAACGTTGACCACCACCTTGCAGGTTCTATCGGCACTGCGGGGAGGGAGTGCGTCCGCGACGCGGAAGGTCCAGAGGGCTGTCACATCATGTGCTGCGGCCGCGGCTACGACACGAAACGCGTGCTGCGCAAGACGAAGTGCGAGTGCAAGTTCCACTGGTGCTGCTACGTGCAGTGCCGCGAGTGCGAGGAGTGGGTCGACGTCCACACGTGCAAGGCGCCCAAGGACAACTCCCGATACTAGCGGCGCCATCTAGCGGCGTGAAATCGCTGCTGTTTCACTGATCTCTATAATACTAACTTATATATATATATAGTTTACATATATAAGTTAGTATGTAGTTATCAGTTAGTACGTAGAGATCAGTGTGCTGCGCCTCGCGGCCGAGCAGCGCCCTCTAGCGGGAGGATGAGTTGAGATGAGTACTTTGCAGACGATTTGGTTAATGAGGTCGCATGGCTGGTGCACTGTTAGAGCATATGTGCACACAGGCACTTGCATTAGAGTAGAGCACTAGGTCGCATCTAGCAATAGACCGTATATCAAGAGGGCACTGATGGTGTAACCCAAATCTCATTTCTCACTAAATATCTGAACCTCTTTTCAATTCCTAGTGAATTCCAATTTATAACTCGAATTTAATTAATTTGATGAGACGAGCCGAAAACTAAGAGGCTAAACAAGCCGCATAGAATTCACGGGGGAAAAACGACGAAATTCACGGCAAGGAATTAGGTGTCTGCACATAATTTCTAGAAGGAAAGCCTAGAAGGAAGATAATCTCTAGAAGGGAATCATGCATTGCGTTTGACTGAAAATCACGAGTAACGCTAAAAAACATTTTTTTACGATAACTCTAATCTATACGACAGTTTCCCATTAACACCCTCCACCAAGACTCGATTCCATAGTACCATATATATAATTATTAATATATATATATATATATAATGCTATATTATTCGGGCTTCTTGTCCGTATGCAGGCCTACTGCTTAGCAAGCGTGAGACTGCATGCATGCACTAGTCACTGCGATATCGTTTATAGATTCACAACTAGGCCTAATAACCCGCACGTGTAACACACTAGCAGCACAAAATATATCATCGAATCATGTATCATAGTAGTGATATATTTTCGCTGGCCGTTAGGTGACGTTAGCGTAGAGAGAACGTTAGTGCTTTAATGCAGTGGTTCTTAACCTTTTTTGAGTCATGGCCCCCTTTGAGAAACTGGTAAAAGCTACGGACGTCTCCCCAGAAAAATGCACATAAGCACATAAACACAATAATGTTTATGTGCCTGGTTCACGGACCCCCTGAAGCCCATCCACGGACCCCCTGAAGCCTATCACGGCCCCATAGCCCATCCACGGCACCCCCTGAAGCCCATCCACGACCCCCTGAAGCCCATCCACGGACCCCCTGAAGCCCATCCCGGAACCCCTGGAAGCCTATCACGGACCCCTGAAGCCCATCCACGGACCCCCTGAAGCCCATCCACGGACAGGGGCCGTAGCTACCATTAGGCAATAGGAGGCAAATGCCTCCTACAAAATTTCGCAAAAAACAATTAAGCGGGCCCATACCCACGCCCTATTGGCTCGCTTCGCGCCTTGTTCTTTAACTCACAACATTTGGCCGCCTCTACAAAATTTACCTCTGGCTACGTGGCTTATCCACGGACCCCATAGGGGTCCATGGACCCACAGGTTAAAACCCCTGCTTTAATGAGTAGCAGCTTGAATAGCCTAAATATAACGTGGCCAAGGAACATGGCGGCTCGTGTTATGAAGGTTTTCACTACCGACTTTATATGTAGGCGAATTAGCGAGTTGGACCACTTTGTTAACTTCCAATGTTCTAATCTCACAATTAGTTGCTATCGATCGGTTGGTCGTGCAACTTTTGTGTTTACACTGCCGATTGTCGGTTGTACAGTTGGGAAGTTGATCCAATTGCCAATTCGCCAACACAATTTGTAGTGTAAACCCCAGCTTTATGCTGCCATTCCTCGTATATCTATACATCTACTAACTCCAGCATTTACGATATGATACACTCGCTACATGTCGTGTTTGAGATATGATATGTAAATAGAGGTGTGCGGCGTGTTTGTGTATATAGTACTGATCATACCCAGTTGACCTAGCCACTTAGCATATAATTAGATATTAATGTAACTCAACAAGAGTAGGGTGACCCAAGGGTAATCAAACTAGTCTCGTTGGGTTACATTATTGTATCTAGCATATAATATACACAGAGTATAGACTACATTGATGTATCTACATGGGAGTACGTGAGGGAAGGCAGAGGGTAGAGCCTATGTATAGGTGGCAAGGTCACGAAAGCGGCAAAGGAGATAGGAACGGGAAAGACCAGAGTCGAGTTTTTACAATGCATGTATTTATTTAGTGTAATTATTGTTTTTATATATTTAATTTGTATATAAGGAAGCCATATTAGAACATCACGTTACCGTGGCGATAGGACTAGTGGCGCCATCATTGGTAAAAACGTTTTTGATGGTTGTAACATGGAATCGAGCAAGGAAAAATTAGCTTGCCACAACGAAAATGGGGCAGTCTAAGAATCGAATCGTGGGAAACTGTTAGGTAGCTTTCTATAATGATTGTAAAAGACATTATTGCTGACAAGTGAAGTTGACAATTGTATATTTTTCACGTATTTAGCACATGCGTGCATGCTTTATAACACATTTGTACGCGACGTCCAAAAATATAAACTCAAAATTTAAAACACCATGTTGACGCTTTTAATGTGTGGTCTTACACATGAAAAAAACATTCAAATAAATGAAAACACAATTATTCACTAATATACATTAATTTAGTCATTTATTATGCATCATAACAATTACTCTAATATACACCATGATACAACAGTGTCTGTACAGAAACGACAAATCCAAACTCATAGCATTCACAATTCTACGCGGGATATATTGTGCCTCATGTCGTGTCCTGGGTTGAGGCATGCAAGCAAACATTTCACAACAGCCAACAATCCCAACCATGGCAGACGTGATCTACGAGAGCTTGTGACAGCTACGCTCGCATGCCAGCTCTCACGAAATCGCTATCGGTGGCAGCTGATCGACCGGACCTAGCAACAAAGAAATAACGATAAACAATTAAAAATTAATTAATTAAAAATAACGATTACAACCACTCCAACTTCCCCGCAATGCAATCGTTGGCAATTCCACTGCAGAATTACTAGATATTTATAATTTGTATATCTTCAGCAATAATCTTCAGCAACAATTTAATAATGTCAATGACAATTATAATCAATTTCTAGCCTCACACACAATCATCTCATTTATCATTAAACAATTTCGCTACACTACTAACGAGTTGACAAAAGACCGACATATCCCACCAACAGATGGCGTCGGTCGTTCCCTCACCGATGGCAACGACGGTGGGCGGCTGGTCGTGTATGTACTTGGTGCAGACGCCTCGCACCGTGTCGACGGTTATCGCCTCGATGCGCGCGTCGAGCTCATGCAGTGGTATGCGGCGTCCGTAACACAGCATCTGCCTGCAAATAGGGGGCGCCACGAATGACCGGCGACGCACTGATAACGCCGATTGTATTTATCCTAGGCAGTCGGCTACCCGCGCGTTTCATTCTTGTACGTATTGTATGCATGTAGTGTACTGTAATGTATGCATGTAATGTACTGTAATGTATGCATGTAATGTACTGTAATGTATGCATGTAATGTACTGTAATGTATGCATGTAATGTACTGTAATGTATACATGTAGTGTACTGTAATGTATGCATTGGTAACTACCTAAATAAACATTATTATAATAAAAGTAAACAATTGAAAACATCAACATATCCATGGAGGCCGCATGTGGGTATCAATCTGTCATTAGTTTTTGAAAGCAAGTTGTGGCATCAGTCCAATAGATTTTCACTAATAGGAAGCATGAATAGGCAACTATATAATAACTTCATAGAACATCGAGATGGCAAGTTGGTATTTATCGGTTACTTGATGTTGAAGGTGAAAAAAAAAGAGACAAAAGTTGAAGCGCCAGTCTAACGGATTTCCGCGGCTGGCGGCTCACCTGCCGATGTCCTCACAGATGGGCGTCGACCCGTCGAGCTGCAGCAGCATGTTGGTCTTGAGGAGGTTCTTCGCTCGCGTGACCTCAGCGTCCGTCACGTCGAAGCACATGCGCCGCCTGCGCGCGAAACAACAAGCGAACGTGCCCCGTCAAAACAAGATCGCGAACGCGCCAATCGGCAGAACGCCACCAAGAATTCTCAATCGTGCAACTTCGTAATCTAAATATAAAAATTAAAATTAAAAAAACTTCGCAATCTCAAACCGACGAAAACGATGACAGACGACAACACGACACTAGGCGGTGCTGCCATCTGGCGAGCGAAAAACACACCATTCGGCCTGCACGCTGCGTATGAAGTCGGGGATGGTTTCTTTCTCACAGATGAAGTAGATTCCCCACAGACCCGTGTCAGTGTAGCAGGTGTTGAAACTCTGGAAGCTGTTGCACAGGTTGCCCTCGGCAGCCGACTTTGTCAGGTTGCTGCTAACGTTCTGCGAGAGAACAAGAGTTAGTCCAGCGGACGCGACGATGGAAAAAACAATAGAACGACGGTGCGGTAGTGTGGCCGAGTTGTATAATGTAGTTTTTTTAAGGATTTTTAACTTTGTTTTACAAGTTTTTTACGGTTATGTTAACTGATGATATTTACATTGCAATCTAGCAATAACTATTACCAGTACTCTTAATTTAAGATGAATGCAAAAACAATTGGATTTTTCTTAAGAAAGAAATTACTCTTTTAATATTATCATGAGACCTGATGAACACAAACACAATCGATCCACTGTCTTTAACTAGTTTCACATTCAGTGTGAATCACGGAATTTAATTAAACACGTTATAAATTAACCAGTGATGAAGAGTGTAATGAGTAGCATCGTTATAGTTAAATCAGCGCCATAGGCTGAGCAAATTCCTAGGGGGGGGGGGGAAGAGTGGCAGACCCAAAATTTCAAGGAGGGGGTGAGAAACAGATGG